GAACCAGAAGGGGATTCTGAAGATCGCAGTAAAAGCTGTCGTACTTTCTGAATATAGTGATGACAACGTGGATTCAATAAAACAGCAATACAATGCACTCTACACTCGACAAACGAGGGGAAAGAAATGGTACAGACAAACGTTTTGCAAGAGTTTTTATATGATGACAAACGAAGCGTCATTTTTTGGGCGGGAATTAAACGCAAAGTTCTGATTGGTTAACGAGCCACGCTCAGCTGTCAATCTTCTTTTGTTGAAACGTCGAACTTTCCAGAAATTCAAGTAGTTCTCACGGCTCGTGGCCAGATTACAAAATCGCCGGTAGCCTCAAGGGGGTAGCGTCTGGGTGTCCAGTCATCCATTACGCCGGTGACGTAATCTTCATAGACGCTGACCACGGGTCAACCTACCGCCCCCGCTCCTACGGCGGTTTCTGGTTTGATAACAAAAGACCGAACAGTAGTCACGCGGTTGGATTACGGGCACAGTTGAACACGTGTTGAAAGGTAATGAAATTATGGAAATTTCAACGATACAACTCAGTTTGACACGAAATCTCTTTTCGAAAAAACAACGTGATGGCGTTGAAATGGCTATCTTTAAAAAATTGTTTATATTTTTTTGGTAAGTGTTTTCGGAGACGAAAAAGTAGAGACGCATCACTCCTCGATTTCGGCGTGATTGGGGTCAGGCATCCGGTGAAAGTTTCACACTGTACAACTAATAGTCTGTTCCTTACAACCCAGGAATCGCCGTATTGTTTTCATAGAAAATTAATCAAGGGGGTTTGTCTGAATGGGTTTTAAACACCATTTCTCTTTCTTTACCGTCACGTCAAACCCGCATCCACACATGAAAGATGGAGTCAGAACATTCTGGTAATTCTAGTCAATATTTGGATTAAAAATTCAAAACATACCTTACTGTATGTTCCCTCTCGGTCGGTATAATTATTGGCCTGTCTATGTCACGTCCCCTCTTCTTATTCCTGGATGCATCTCATTGCATTAGTGCGCTCAATGTGAGAAAATCTTTTCTATTCTTCTTCTTCTACAACTTTTTCTTCGTCATTTTCTTCTTGTTCTTGTTCTTGTTCTTGTTCTTCTTCTTTTTTCTTCTTTTTCGCGTGTGCTGGTTGGCGGGTGCTCTGGTGTGATTTACTCCTTCTTTCCTATCAAGCACCTATGATCCCTATCATTCCTCCTCCTCCTTTTTAAATAGATGTAACTCTCTTGTAACTAATCTATTCTTCATCACTTATATGACCTTATTGTTGCAACGCCGTAAAACTCTTACTTAAACTTGAAAAAACTCTGCTTCCTCTTCCTTCACTGGAGCATAAATTTGATGAATTGATTAATTATGCGCACATTTATTGACCAACTTCACCACATACCACTACTTCCGACGTATTGACTGAGATGACGCCTCGCTCCTCCCTCTGTCCCCGGTATTAACTATATAGGAAATAACAAGGGGAAGTGACTTTGAGAGGAACAGACTATGAAATGTACGGCGTGACATAGTTTTGAGGCACTGCGTCACCGACCTTGCGTCAATAATATGATGCGAAGAGGGGCCAGCTGACGAATAAAATATCTCTCACTAGTAATCTCCTGTGTTTTACGGCGCCTACAACTGCATAAAGTCATATGAGCACACGGTATATTTCAGTTGGTATGAACATTTGAATTTTGCCTTGGTGGCGGCCGACGCCTACTCCTATCTAGAAGTTGGGGTGTTCGCCTCTCATTTAAAGGCCCTGAGTTCAAATCCTGGTAGTAACGGAAACATTTCTTCTATAAAATTGTCTTCTTTCACCACCTTTACTGATCTCTAGCAATGTTCTGTCGTCTGATTTCATCCCCACTTTCTACCTCCCCCCTCACCTCCTTTTCTCCCTCCTCTGGGCGCCTGACTCTTTCTGCAGCCTTTCTACAGTTGCTCCTTGGCTCCTTCTCACTACTGTCATTCAGCCACACCCCTGATCTTCTAGTAAGAAAGATCTACACCTAGCCTTCATGGACAAGGGCGAAAAGTTTCGGAGGTGACCGAAAAAGGTTAGTTCCTAACCTAGCCTGTTTCATAAATAGACGTAAAACGGAGTTGTAACAGAAACAAACATGTTCTAAATGAATAAAGATGTGAACAAAACACAAGGAAGGAAAGACAGCACTCGTAAGCCAGACATATTATGTCATTCGACGTCCATAAATACGATTCAAAGGATAGATTGTTAGCTTGGGTTTTCTGACACTGTCTGTCCCCCGTGGTTATAAGCACCCCGCATAATTTAGCCAAATTTGATCTTTTATTTGCATAATTTCTGATTTTTTTTCCCATGATCATTTTTCGTTAAAATTAACAGAATAGCATAATTTCACATTTTTTGGCTCAATTTGTATAATTTCAGAATTATTTTTGCATAAAACCGCCGGGACAGCACTGTTTTGTCCATCTAACATGCTGGTCTCCTGTCGCCGGCGAAGACTGTTGTTAGTTTTGGTGTTGCTTTTGCTTTAGGTCACAAGATAGACTGTCTTGAGAAGTCAGCCCCTCCTACTTCCATACCCTCTGTGGCCTATAAATACAATGCCAGCTCTTAGTTGGACAGCTTAGTGGCCAATCTACATACAGCGACAGTCCCCAATCGTCTGTGTACAGTCGAACCTGCCCTGACGGCCAACTCTATAAGACGGCCACCAGTACAAATGGCCTCTTTCCATTTCCCCCCTAGCGTTTTTTCTATATAATTTAACTGTGTAAAACTGGCACCTGTCCAACGTAGCCGCGGCCACCATATTTTATCACACAAACCATATCACACTAAACAATAACACCTGTCTTAGACGTCCACCTCAGTGACTCCATTGCGTTTTGTAATAAATTGTGCATTGGCCCCTGGCGTTGAGGGCGAGCCGTCATAATCTAACCACCTGTCATTGTTGTCAGATAGTCCCTCCACCCGATCATGTTGCATAGGCCTCTCCCACTGTTGACCAATAGGTACCAATGTTCAGCTGCTGGTGAGGTAAGCGTGTGATCCCTCATAACCCAGAAACCCCGCCCAGAACTCATACACAAATCGTATGTGAGACGAGTGGTCACTGTTTACCCAGTCTGTAACAAAGAAACAATGGACGTCAACATGAACTTGTGACAGAAGTGTCGCTCGTTCTCCGAGCGCTGGCGACCCATGTGTTTGTTTTACCCCAGCACTCGGCGTTACTCGTCTGATACATTTCGTTTTATTGTCAGTCTTGAGCACAATCAGCAACAAAATGAAAAAAAACAACAACAACAACAAAAACCAACAGCAGCAAAAACAACAGCAATGCGGCTTCTTTCGATTGGGACCTCAGATGGGAATGGTTGGTTTTCTTCCTCTTGATCAGTCCAGTCTAAGAAGGCCACCTGTCTTATACGGTTTCCTCTTGACAATGGATGGCCGTCTTACACAGGTTTGACTGTTTTTCCTACAGACCAATGTTCCCCCACAAAGGTCTGACTGGAGTGGCTTCCTGTCCCTGCCACAGACAAAGGTCTGACTGGAATGGCTTCCTGTCCCTGCCACAGACAAAGGTCTGACTGGAGTGGCTTCCTGTCCCTGCCACAGACGACAAAAGGACTACAGAGATGTCACCCTCTACGGTCTAAAAGGGCCCTTGACCCTGTTGTCGTTGTTGTTGCTGTTGTTGTAGTTGTCGTCGTTGTTGTTGTTGTTGTTGTTGCTGCTGTTATTGTTGTTGTTGTTGTTTCTGTTGCTTATAAGGCCATTCCGTGGTAGATTTGAATAGCTAATCCCAGATGTGATTCTTTTCTCTCTCTCACTCTCTCTCTCTCTCTCTCTCTCTCTCTCTCTCTATATATATATTATATATATGTATATATATATATAAACATATATATATATATATATATATATATATCTATCTATCTATCTATCTATCTATCTATCTATCTATCTATCTATCTATCTATCTATCTATATACATACAGAGCCCCAAAAAAAGTAAAAATATGCGACTCAGTTATTTTTATCAGAGGAAGAGAAAGGAAAATATTCAGAGATTATGCACAAAAAGAGCAAATTTTGATAGAGTATATGGGGTGCGTGATATATATATATATATATATATATATATATATATATATATATATATATATATATATATATATATATATATATATATATATATATATATATATATATATATATATATATATATATATATGTATATATATATATGAATATATATAATTATATATATTGTGTATGTGTGTCAAAAGGTGAATTACTTAAGCTACTGGTGCAGTCCATTTCCGAGGCAGTCATATTTTTTGTAAGGCAATAATTATTGCTGTTGTTACTGTTGCTGTTTTGGGGGTTGTTGTTGTTGTTGTTGTTGTTGTTGTTACTACTGCTGTTGTTTTTATCATACGTGGTAGATTTGAGTGGCTAATTCGAGGTGTGTATGTGTGTGTGTGTGAGAGAGAGAGAGAGAGAGAGTCGGAGAGAGAGAGAGTGTGAGTGTGTTTGTGTATGTGTGTTTGTGTGTGAGTGTGTGTGTGTGTGTGTGTGTGTGTGTATGTGTGTGTGTGTGTGTGTGTGTTTGTGTGTGTGTGTGTGTATCAAAAGTTGTGAATAAACTTAAACTGCTGTTGCAGTCAATTTCGAGGACTGTCAAGTTTTTGTAGTGTATAGTAAATTTGTTCTGTTTCCTAATGGCTTGGCCTTTAACCCATAAAGAATGATATTATCACCTGATTATTTTGTGTTTCTAGATCTCTCCATTTCATATTTACTCGACAAGGAAATCTTTAGTTAGTTGGTGGAATAACTTATATAAGATTTTTCGTACCGTTGAAAGTTAAATTTTGACATACACCACAACCAACAAGGGTGTCAAAAGAGTGGTAAATCTTTTGATAGATTC